ATTTAAGAGCAGAAAGCGAGAACGGCTTTCGTGCTAGGAGGGAAGCTCTAATAACGTGTTAATAGGGAGTTTGCCTTGGGCAAAGATCTTAGAAAGTAACGACGAGACTGGCTACTTCTCACTCACCAGGTCGAGGAAGGGTTAGCTTAGGTCGACTTCAAAAAGAGGCAAAGCGAGGCCGTCGCCCAAGCAACAGCAGCAGGAGGAAGAAAGCAGCAGCGCAGCCGACTCCCCACCTTGTGCCGACCCCGACCCTGATTCTCCAGCCCATCCCTCTCGTCTCCCTAGGTAAGGATCGTGAATCCTTTCATGATTCTCAACTCGATACATTGGTAGCCTAATCCGAAATTCGTATTTTTGCATTATAGCGTTGCGGTAAGGTTTGAAGGTTCAAACATCGATCAACGAGGAGATCAACATCTCGGGTCATACAATTAGTCCTAGGCACGTTCTAGAGGTAAGACAACTCGATCCCTTTGAGTTAGATCGATCGATTTGTTGATTTTTCGTAAGGGTGCAATTCTGGGGTTTTACTTTTTAGCGACAGACTTTACAGGCTTTTAGTGACAGATTTTGGGTGGTCACTAAAACTGCAGGGAATTTCCAGAAACGTAATTTTAGTTGTTTAAATTGTTTCGAGCCACTTTAAGTGGTTTCTATGGGTTTAACAATTTTATAAATTGAATTATGTCTATTACATACATGTGATTTAATATGGGAATTTTTGAAAATGAATTACTATTTTTAGAAATTAGACGAATGCCCTTTGTATTTAAATAAAAATCCTTTCGAGGTGTTTGAAGAGTTTGATAATTTTCCATGATCTTGGATCGTCTAATTGAAATGAGAAAATTGTTATCCGGATTTTTAAGGGGGTTCAAGTTAGGTGAAAAATTCATCCAAAACGAAGTTAATTAGGAAAAATGGTATGTTTTAAAGAGGTTACTTCTAGAAAATTGTTGAATGAGGTTAAGGGATCTTTGGAATGAGGTTTGAGGATATGACTTTGAGGAGAGAGTGTTTGGGTAAATAAAAACAGGTTTTAAATCGAGAAAGGTCGTCTAAGAAAATGAATTTCTTATCAATAGGTTTCCCAAGATTATTCGGTTAAGGATGGATTTCTTCGAGGAAGAAATCGAGGAGTCATCGTTTCGAGGTGAGTGTAAAGGGGATAAAATCTCCGTCGATGTCTTTTAGTTTAAGCTTTTCATTTCAAGTTATTATTTAGTTAATTTTCAAGTATGCGCGATTGTGTGTTTGAGGCATCCCACCGCCTACTTAAGGTGGAGGCACACGTTGTGCTATGTATGTGAATGTATGGATGTATGGTTAATGGTAAGATGAACCCCCGGGCGGTTGGGCCACTATTGGACGCGGTAGATGGTCGAATCACTGCTGGTTGGCGAGACATAACGCGACATTTGATCGAGTATGTTGGGGTTGCTACTGTACGGCGAGATGTAACGCGGTAGTTGACTGGGCATGGACTGGACGTCGAGACGTAACGCAGTTCCATTGCTGAGTTGGGTATGCAACCGGACGGCGAGACGTAACACGGTTGGCATACTAGGGTAGGGACACCGGACGACGAGATGTAACGCGGTGGTCCCTGGTTTTGATGTCTATGATTTAAGGATAGAACTAGAGAAATTTTATGAGTTCAGTATAGAAGTAGAGAACTATTATAATCTAGTAGAAAGGATGATTATTTAAGAGCAGAAAGCGAGAACGAATTTCGTGCAAGGATGAAAACTCCACAACGTGTTAGTAGGGAGTTGCCTAGGGAAAATACCTTAGGAAGTAACGACGAGACTGACCCTTCTCACTCACCAGGTCGAGGAAGGGTTACCAAAGGTGGACTTCGAGAAGAGGCAAAGCGAGGCGGGAAGCCGCTCCAGAGTAGACGAGATCGAGAGGAGCTCAACGAAGAGTTAGAGCTATAGTTATTTTTATTATTTTTGTTCATGATCATGAGTATATAAACTGGAGATTCAAGGTTTTGAATTTGGGTTGTTTTGTTTACTATGGATTTGGGTCGCCCAACTGTATAGCGCATTTCTTTTTAATTTCTTGTGGAAAATACTTGGAATTATTTGATTTATTGAGTTTTTTTAACACTATTTCGGTCGGCTCCGGAAGCTTGAGTTTTCGATTTGTTTAAAAGTATCGGAATGTAATGTTACATAGAAGGTGTAAAATGGGAATGGGGCTAATGTGTAGAAGGTACTACTTGCGTACAACAATCTCTAATCACTATTCAATCACCTACAAAGGAACCACTAAAACTAAATCAAATCAAACGTCATATGTCAAACCTATAATAGTCCAAATACAAAAACAAATAGCATAATTTTTTAGTGAGATAAAGACATAGATCACTCAAAATTCCAGCATACATCAGTTGTCGTCTTGGCTTTTCCATGATCGAATTCTAAAATAAGCACCATGAAGTGTCCTTACAGTTTCATAAAAAAAGAACACACCTTTGAAATAAACCATACCTGGTCCTTCCATATCCATTGCCTTCTCTAAACTCATATATCATTTTAGGCCTAGCTCACCACCATTTACTGAAAGCTACTTATCAAAAAATAGAAACTTTATAGAAAATTAGATTACCTTTAAGTTCTTCCTTTTTTGCTTTCTCTTATTATAATCCTTCTCTTTGCCGTTACCCTGCCCAGAAATGGCCTTGCGTCATTCCCTTACCCACCTCCCTTCTGCCATTCCCCTCCACACTTCGTTCCCCTAACCAGATACAAAATGAGAAGCTACTTAGCAGAAAATAGAAACCAGTCACTGCGACACCCCCTCAGGTACCACTGCAATGAAAGAAAACATTATTTAAAGTCACGAAGGCAGACAAAGAAGATTGATTAAGAAGCTCACTAATGATGGAGTGTACAGTGATCACTGATCAGAAGACCCTCAACCAAACTAAGCTGCTATATGTCTCAACATACTTTTGAACTCTCTTCAATTGTATAGTTTTAGCCACAAATGAAATCAAACCAGAGCTATAAAAAGATCGGACTAATTTTCGAAAGTTGTCAACCTTTGAGGGATACAATTTGATCCCTTCTCACCTATAATTTCCTTTGTAGTTCGACATCTCCATCAAGAAGAATCCGTCCAATTTTCGCAGCTCATTCATCAACAACCCAATCGAGCAAAAAACATCCTTCTATGCTACCTTCCCACCTTTACTAATCACCGACTCAAGAGGCAAGACCTATAAGAAAGCTACTCAATCCCACACCCGGGTTAGCGTTTGCCAATCGAATCATCTGCAATACATGGAAGTAGATCAAAAGGAAAAGTATGCATGCCCTGGCCGCGTGGCTACCGACTTCTAAGTTGAACGTGAAGATGGATTTAGAAGCTTTCTCCATCGTGACATTTTTTCTCATCTCAAGGTAACGCTTCTCTTGGTTAATTGGGTCTTCAAGCAGCACCATTTTGGACTTTTCTTTCACCCCCTGTGACTGGAATTTGGGTTTAGCTTCTCAAACAACATTCTGCAGGGTTTCACCTCGCATGGAATAAGCCGAACCACTACCAGTCGTTACCCATCGCTGACATCGGTGGCTCATCTTTCATTATCATCGTCTCTTCTTCTTTTTCGCCTTCTCCGCCACCTGCAGTCTTTGTACACCCGTACATTAGAAACAAACACTACAAACCAAACCAAAAAGAATTATGATGGAAAGTTCTACAACTTTAGATCTCTACAAAGGAACTAACTTTTCCTGAATCCAATTAGCCCACCATCATCGGTGGTTGGGTAAAATGCAAGGGGAAAAGAATGAGAAAGTACCTGAAAGCCCACCATTGTCGCCTGGTCCATCGGCGTCCACAGCAGCCATCTTCGTCAATCCCGAACAATGCCAGCCCATGAAGATCATCTTCCTAAGAGATTGGAGGGTTTTATTTTTTTTGGTTTCATAGATCAATATGTTGTTTTGTGGCTATGGCTATCAGTTGCATATGGGGAAAATCGTATGATTGGGAAGAAGACCAGAACAAAATGCAACCAAAAAACAAAAGACCACCAAAGTTTCATTCAATTACAAAATGGTCATGTGACTCTCCCAATTAGTTTTTTCATAAGAAAAATTAAAAAAACAAAGAAGCAATTCTTTCCCAAATAATCCTTCAAACTTCCCAAATAACACTAGGTTTAATCCGTTTTGCTTGGGTCGATTGTTTATTTTTCGGGTGTGGGAATAAATAATAAAACAAAAATGAAAATTCAAATCATCAAGCATTACCCAAATAGTCCTTCAAACTACCAAAAATTTCGCAACAGGTCAAGTTAGATTGAATACCATTGGGGTTCAATTGTCGTTCAAAAAATTAGTTAGAAAACCCAAAATTCGTCAACATCGAGTTTAACTCGCTTTAACCGGGTCGAATGGCAATTGATTTAAGTAATTTTAAAACCAGCAAAGGCAAGTGGGGCGAGTTTTTTGAACAAATTCAACCGACCCAATTAGATCAAATTAGCTCAAATACCCAGTGAGTTCAAATGACTTTAACATTGAGTTCAACTCGCTTTAATCGTGTCGAATAAGGAAAAATATTCATTGATTTAAGTAAGTAAAACTCATTGTCGGGTACAAATCGTTAAAAGATAGCAAAGTATTCAAATTCTACTTGTCGGGTACAACCCGGCAAATACAAAAGCGTGTAAAACCCTTCCTTGACCAAATATTCGTCAACACCGGGTACAACTCGATTTAACCAGGTCGACATTAGGTCGAACACCCATTGATTTAAGCGTGTAAAACTCGTTGTCAACACAAAATTCATCAACATCGAGTTCAACTCACTTTAACCGGGTCGAATACTGATTGATTGAGGCTGAAATCGGGTTCAATTGTAATAAGTTAATTAATTAGAACCATATTGGCACAAAAACACCTCCAAGCTTTGGTTAATTACAGAAAGAGTTTTTTTATTGAAACGTATAAAACTCATTGTCAACAAAAAGTCGTTAACACCAGGTTCAGCTCGCTTTAAGCGGGTTGAATTAGGTCGAATACCCATCGATTTGGGTTGGAATTGGTTCAATTGTCATAAGAAAATTAATTAGAACCTTAATGGCCCAAAAACACCTCCAACCTTTGGTTAATTACAAAAAAGCAACCCTTTGTTGAAATTAATAAAGTTTAATATAATAATACCAAATATCAGAAAATCCTAGAAGCTTGGAGTAAGTGGCGTTGTGTGCAGAATTGTGTAGAAGAAGAAATAAATTGGGTTAGTTGTTAGTTGTAGAATAAAGAAATATGGGAAATGTAAAGCCACAAATGAATGGCAGTTGTGGTCAGATATTTTGAGAAGGAAGGCCTATAAATAGCCTTCTCTATGTACGATTGGAAGCAGAGCAAAACAAAGAAACAACAAATAGCCAATAAAAAGAGTTCTTTCTCTCTGCGGCCTCTCTCCCTTAAAAAAAAAAACCCCCATTCCTTTCCCAATTAAAAGACCACCAAAAATTCATCTTCCCTACAAGCTAACGAGCTCTCCCCACCATAAAAAGCCCACCATTAAAGTTTGAATTATAAGGAAATAATTAATTTATTTCCAACAAAGTGGTATCAGAGCCCGAGTTATTCTTAAGTATGCTCTGTGGTTGCAGCGTAGTCTGAACTTCCACATCAGAAAAGAATTTCTCGTGTTTTTGTTATCACGATTGTCCCATGGCCGAAAAATCCACTTTCCCCATTCAATTCCCCCACCTTACCAAAACCACTTACAAAAATTGGTGCATTCGTATGAAAGCTTTGCTTGGATCCCAAGATGCTTGGGATATTGTCGAAAAAGGCTACGAGATTCCCGTAGAGGATTCTCGGTTATCTCCTACTGAAAAGGAGGTATTGAGAAAAAATAGAAAGAGTGATCAAAAGGCACTCACTCTAATTCATGAATGTCTTGATGAATCGATGTTCGATCAAATAGCAGATGCTACCACAGCAAAGGAAGCATGGGAGATTCTGCAAAAGGAAATGCAAGGAGTGGATCTGTTTCAGATTACACCGCCCGTGTGAAGTCTATCGCTAGCAAACTGAAGTAGTATGGGGAGAAAATTGAAGAGACCAAAGTGGTGGAGAAAATTCTACGGTCATTATTACCGAAGTTCGATTATGTGGTGGTGGCCATGGAGGAAGCTAAGGACGTGTCAAAAATGACAGTGGATGAAGTCATCGGCTCATTGCAAGCACGTGAAGAAAGGCTAAATAAAAGAAATGAAGAATCGTCAGAACAAGTGTTAGCTACAAAAGCTACCACTGAGGAGAAAGAAGGCGCACGAGGAGGAGTTCAATACAGAGGTCGAGGCAGAGGCAACTACAGAGGCAGAGGAAGAGGAAGAGCCCTAGGAGCATATCAAAGCAGAGACGGAGGAAATTTCACCACGAACAATTATGAAACGTCCACCAGAGGCAGAGGTCGTGGTCGTGGATGTGGAAGAGGAAGTTGGAGATCAAATGAAGGTCGTGATAAATCCAACGTCCAGTGCCATAATTGCTCGAAGTACGGGCATTATGCATCGGAATGTTGGAGTCCGCCTAAAGAAGTGGAGGAAACAGCAAACAACGTGCAAGAAGAAGAAGTCAAAGGCACATTGATGCTGTCACATCAAGGAGATGAGAAACCGAAAGACAACATGTGGTATATGGATAATGCAGCGAGCAACCACATGTGTGGAAAAAGAAATATGTTCGTGGATATGGATGAGTCAGTGAAAGGAAATGTCGTATTTGGAGACTCCTCGAAGGTTCCTATCAAAGGCAGAGGAACTATACTCATCCGGCTCAAGAATGGCTCACAACAATCTATCAGTGATGTGTACTATGTCCCGGACATGACTAGTAACATCCTGAGTTTGGGTCAGCTGATGGAGAAAAATTATGAAGTTCATATGGTAAATCGTCAATTGGAGCTGTTAAATGAGAAGAAGCAGTTGTTGGCCAGAGTCCCAATGTCGAGAAACAGAATGTTCACGCTGAACATTCAAACTGAAATAGCGAAATGCTTGAAAGTATGTGTGAAGGATAATACATGGCTATGGCATCTGAGGTATGGCCATCTAAATTTTGGAGGTCTCAAGTTACTCGGTCAGAAGAAAATGGTGCATGGTCTGCCAGTGATCAATCATCCAGACCAATTGTGTGAAGGATGCTTAGTTGGAAAGCAATTCAGGGCAAGTTTCCCGAAGGAGTCCCTGTCACGAGCTAAAGCACCACTTGAGCTGGTCCATGCAGATCTTTGTGGACCGATCACCCCAACATCGTTCGGAAAGAACAAATACTTCCTATTGTTCATTGATGACTACAGTAGAAAGACATGGGTATACTTCTTGAAGCAGAAGTCAGATACATTTGAAGCTTTCAAGAAGTTCAAGATGATGGTGGAGAATGAAAGTGGTCGCTACATCAAAGCCATGAGATCAGATAGAGGGGGAGAATTTATGTTGAAGAAGTTCAGAAGGTTCTGTGAATATCAAGGAATTCGCAGGTTTCTCACAGTTCCATGAAGAAAGTTGGTTTGTTTTTTTAATCGAGGATTTAGTTTTAGATTTTTTTAAAAAAATTTCAAACTCTGATACCACTTGTCAAAATCGGGCTGCTTAATTAGTACGATATTGTCCGTTTTGAGCCAATCATGCACGGTTCTACTCCTAGGTTCCTTCTCCAAAAGGTCTCGTATAGAGATGGCAAATGGATTGGTGGATACATCACTACGGGAAAAGTGGCTTTACGCAACACTCGTCCTGCAACACTTCTAAAAAGTGTTGCATAAAATAAATATAGGCAACAGTTTCATTTTGTGTCGCTTAATATATATCTTATGCAACACTTTCATTTTGTGTCCCTTAATATATATTTTATGCAACACAAATCAGCAGCATGATAATTTTTGTTGCATATTATTAATAATATGCAACACTTGTACAATAAAATAACTTGTGTTACATATTCTAATATTTAGACTAACACTTTGTAAAAAATGTAACATATTGTACCAATTTGATATTTGTTATTAATTAAAATTATTATATTAATCAAGAATATTATTATGTATTAATTAAGTATATGAACTATAATTATAATAATTAATAATATGATTGTATATTAAATAAGTATATGAATTATTATATTTATATTAACTAAGTATGTGAATTTCAAATTAACTTGAACTCTCACTACAATTGAAGAACAAAACATAAAAGAACCTCCACTACAAATGACCAAACCTCGTTATACCTTTATTATTATTAATAAATACTATTGAATTTTTTTCACTTCCCATCGAATCATCCATATCTCGAAGATAATTATGGTAAAATATACTTAATATTGATTTTTATATTCTTCCTAACAAAACAAAAAAGAGCCTATCAATCCGAACTTCCAGCCTTAGCATAAAGTATTTCGCCAAAATAATTATTTGAATGGTTATTTGCCATTTGGCCAATTATATTATCTAATTCTCTCCCTGAATATTTTCTATTAATCCTAGCTAGGAAAAACATTAAAGTGGCATACTTCCACACTTCCACACTTTATATAATGTTTTCCTTGAATAGTTTTTTTTTGGTAGAATCCTTGAATATTTTTAACACAATTAAAATTTGAGATTTTATAATTCCACCTTGAATAAGTGCTAATTTATCAGACCAACGAGTCATGGAGACTCGTATGCATCATGGTCAACCTCTTTGAGAATAGTCATGGAGACTCGTACACATTTCTACGATATTTAATTTTCTTTCGATTTGATAATCATATGGATAAAATGTGACAAAGCATATATTTAGTAAATTAACAACTCTATTAGGTTTACTAAATAATCTTAGTACAGAAGCTTTGGCATAAGAGGCGATATTTATTAATTGACAAACAATGTAACAATTGATAACTAATTAGGTAAGTCTCAATTCCAAGTACTTTATTCTAGTAAATTACCTATTATCATCGTGTACAACCATAAAGTAAAAATTATGGACTGTATTTTTCCTCGTAAAACAATTGTAGGCAATAATATTTTTTATTCGTTCATCTCTTCAATAATAAAAGCTCTTCCCTTAAGTATGATAAATCCAATAAATTTTCCGCAAAAATAGCTCTTTGAGAATCTCCCAACCCATAAAAAGATCTCAACTCTTCCTATTCTATATCAATATAAAATTCACTACTATTAATCCAATCTTTCCCATAGAATAAAAAACCTTCATCTGCCGAAGTCCTTCTTCTGCAAAACCCTGCTCCTGTTCCATCGTCATCTCCTGTTCCTAGATGCCATCCTCGTTACCGTCAATCTCAAGACTCAAGTACACTGCTCTCTCGATTGAAGTTTTTGTTAGTGTTGACATACTGTTAATTAGGTATTGTACAAATCTTCTTCCTAAAACTAATATTATTTTCAGAGTTCTATTCCACGTGCTCTTCTTCTTGGGATACACATTAACTAATTTAAGAAACTACTCCTATAGTCTTCCCCTTATAACAATGAAGCTTTGTTTTGATAGGAATCATGAGCTCCGATTATATTGCTTACTCGGCCAAAAGGGCAAGGGAAACTCAAGAACGACAAGCCAAATCAATGAATTCTAACAGTGATGAGATAAGATCCCAATCGATAGATGAAGTATATCATTCCGATGAGACTCATAATCAGTCAGAAGAATTGTGTGCAAGACTCTCCATTAATATTTTTATTACCATAGTTCTTGTCACTAAATGAGTTATACGTGACAAATTTTATGTAAAATGTATTGTGTTACGAGTCAAATCCACGCCATTGTTGTATTTTGTAATGACAATATTTGTCACAGAAATCACTTTTTGTGACATATCAAATTTATACTATACTATTTGGTACAATGCACAATCGTCACCATTATTGTCATTCGTGACAAAAAAAAAACTACAATGTATCATTATCGTCACTTATGTATCATATATATCATATCGTCACTAATATATACTACTCTTACAATGAATAGACGTCACAAATAGTGTCAGGAGTGACTAAAACATTAATCACAGAAGTGTGCTATTGTGACAGTTACCACTGTCGCAAAAACCTCCTATTGTGATAAAATGATGGCAAAAAACAGGAATTGTTTGTGACAACTAAAAATGGTTACAAGTGAAATAAATGTGGTGACGGCACGAAACTTGTCACAAGTGTAAAGTATTTGTGACACTCAGAAAGTTGTCACAATTGAGTATGTCTTATGTGACGAAACACCCAGTTACAAATAAACCTTATACATGTTAGGTATACATGTCAAAAAGTGTTGCGTATATTTTTTAGAGTGTTGCCTAAAATTGTGTTGTATATGTGAAATTGTGTTGCATATAAGGTATACTTATGCGACACATTTTTTGTTGTTGCAAAAAGTGTCAAAAGTGTCACCTATTACTTTATACAACACCACCTATAGAGGACACTGCTAAAAGTGTTGCATAATACATATACAACACTTTCGGTACTTCTTGCAACACATTTCGAGTGTTGCCAAAGGCCACTTTTTCCGTAGTGCATGAATCAAATGGATTGGTGGATTCATGGATTGGATCAAGTGGATTGGTGGATTATCAACGAATCAAATGACATCCTCAACCAAGGACCAATATGTAAAATGTGAAAAGTTTAGGTACTAAAATGTCATAATGAAAAATTTTAGGTACCAAAACGTAATTTTTCAATGATATTTTTCGTATAAAAAATTAAATTTTGGGTGCCAAAATGTAAAGTATAAAGAATATAGGTACCAAACCGTAATTTGTTATTTGGACAACTCGAATGCTCATCATTGATTTTTCTCTTTTTTGTATGTCTTTCTTATGTGGCTAATTAATGATTTAATGTCGCCGCGTGTCTCATAAGATTACACTAATGTGGGCGTCGCTCTGATACAACGACAAAGTAAAAACTGTCAAGAACCAGTTGCTCCCAATAACCCGAGTTGTTGGGAGAAGGTTTTGCTGGATCTTATACAACATTCTAACACGCCCCCTCAAATGAAAGCCAACCCATGGGCTTGAAGTTTGCACAAGCCCATCATACCATGTGCTTGAAAGACAACGGTTAATATTGGGGGTCGTGGAGATTCGAACACATGACCTTTTGGTTCGAGGCTCTGATACCATGTTAAGAACCAGTTGCTCCCAATAACCCGAGTTGTTGGGAGAAGGTTTTGCTGGATCTTATACAACATTCTAACAAAAACAACGTAACATTATCTTTTATTATATAATAATAATTTGCTTCGACACTACAAAGCCTTGACTTAGATGGAGATCTCCCTAACCGATAGACTTACAAGCTATTCCCATATTTGTTTCACCGAGAAACACACAAACAACACTCAACAACCGGGCAACCAGCCATAACAAAAGCACTAGCTTATTAATGCCGCCTAATGGCCGGCTGTTCCATGATGTGGCTTCACATCAATCACAAGCTTCTGGCAGCCATCGGCGCAGTTCCTGCCCACGCTGCAAATGTAGAAGTTCCTCCCAACAGTCTTGAGTTCGACGACGTCGTTCCCGGTGGCCAGGGCCTTCACCCCTCTTGGAGCGCTACACTTCTGGAACTGGTACTCGTTCACCTTCACCACGTTGTGGAAGCACTTGGGGTACTTGAAAACTGCATGCATATATGGCCAGACCCAAAACATTCATCAGACAGTAGAGTAGAGTTTAAGGAAGGCACGTATGTATGAGTAATTAAGCTACGTGATCGATAGACGTGGGCTCACCAAGCTTGTCGCCGACGCGGAACACCTTGCCCTCGGCCCAGACGGCGTAGTCGACGCGTGCTCGCCAGCCTTGATCGCCACCCACAATGAACACCGTAGCGAAAGTTTTGGAGGGAGTGAATGCTAACACTGCCAGAACCATAAGCGCTAGCAAAGCCTGATGATGAGATACTAGGGGTTGGGAAGCCATTAATGGTTGAGAGTTGAGACAATTAGTATGCTGGGGTACTGTTTAGAAGGAAGATGGGGGCGAGAAGGGCCTAATTTATAGAAGTGGGGTTTATGTAAACAAGAGCTTTGAGTTGTCACAGCTGGTTAGGTTAGTGAGTTATACCTAAACTAATAAAGGGCTCTTATTTTATGTGGGTACAAGTATAGATGTCCTAATTACCGGATACTGAATGGAAGAGTAAGGGAAGAACGTACGTACTTGAGCATAAGGACATGATGATATACGATTAAGTAGCTCTGAGGCTCATAGCTGAGTGTAATGCTGCTGTGATTCATTGGTGAAATTTTCCACGTTGATTATTCAATCAACCAATACTGTTAGTTTACGCAACCTGGTGTTTATTCACGCATATTGTTATTTATTCACGTCATTATAAAATCAAATTTAAGTTTTAAAATATATCAAAATGGATGTCACTGTGTAGATTATGATCAATGAAACATATTCTTACAAATTAATTGAGAATTCAAATTTAATTCCACAAAATATAGTCAGTACAAATTATTAACCAAAAAAGTCTAAATTTCCATTTACATAAATAATTATACTTTTACGTAAATAAACAACAAAAAAAATCCATGCACGTACAATACAAAAGGTCACTCTCTCTACCTTATGGGTCAGCGTCACAGCTCAAAAGGTCACTCTCACCTTCTGGGCTTCATTAACGTTGCATTTATTTCCTTTCTCTAAATAATTCAACGAATCTCCATTTAATAAGAGCTCGGTATAACGACGTCCTGCCTACTTCTTCGATCTGTTTTTTTGTTTTTTTTTTTTTTTCATTGAAATCTCCAATGAATTAGCCCAACAATTTAGTTTCATTCATAATCATATGATTTGTGTTCATAATTCAGCACCTGAACTGTCGCCCAAATTATAAAGAGCTTCAAGGAAGAAAGTTTAGAAACTAAAAAAAAAAACTATTGTATTCACTTATCTTAACTACAAAATACCAGAGTTACTCTGCCGCCAATAAAGCCAATTATAATTTCCGAAAACAAAGAACGTACAAACGATTACAAAAGTAGAAAATTAAAAAAAAGTTGTAATCTCACATATTTGGTCTGGCCGTTTATCATTGGTCACTCTCTTATTATCACCAGGGCTAAATCTGTTGTCTTTGATTAGCTAGTCTAATACCTATGGCCTAGCTAGATACGTGAACTGCTATTTGCCGCCAACCAAAAAAAAAATTGAATTCAAATTTTGAATTTTCCCTTCCTTTCCTTCCTTTCATTCTATAAATTCGGATATCAGGAACATTTGACTCATTCCAACAAAAACTTCTGTTGACGAGCCCAGTGCCTCCGTCGCCGGCACCGTTCTTCCGTCGCCGGCACCGTTCTTCCGTCGCCGGCCAACCTCCCGTCGCCCTCAATCGTCGGAAAACAAGTAAGTTTACTTTTTCCGGCAAGTTTTCCAGTTTTCCGGCGAAAAACACGGTGAGCCGAAAAAAAATTGCGGCCCGAAAGCCGCCGAGCCGAAAAAAATTCGGCCAGGCGGCGCCTCGGCCCTAATTTTTTTCGTCCGGTCGCCGGACACGCCGGCCAAAATTTTTCCGGCTGTGTGTTCGTCGGCCGGCCGAAAAAAATTTTTTCGGCCCGGCAACGCACCGGCCGCAAATTTTTTTCGGCCCGGCGGCGCTCCAGCCGCAAACTTTTTTCGGCCAGGCGGCGCGCCGGCCGCAAACTTTTTTCAGCCCGACGGCGCGCCGGCCGCAAAATTTTTCCGGCCATGACAATTTTTGTATTTAATTTAATTTAATATGTTAATTAATTAGTCAATAAAAAATTACTTAATTAGTTAATAGAAATTAGCAATTAGTGTTAATATTTATTTAAGTTGGTGTATAAATGTTTTTTTTTTTGTAATAGGTGTATGAATGTTTAATTACTTAGATTAGTTAATAGAAAATTAATTAATTAAGAATTGATTTAACAATTAATGTTAATATTCAGTACATTAGTTAATAGAAAATTAATTAATTTGTGATTAATTAACAATTAATGTTAATAGTATATTAGTTAATAGAAATTTAATTAATTAGTGCGCATCTAAGTATGATATTGTGTAAATTTATAGATAATTAGATATGGATGATGCGGGTGGGAGTGAGTTGTATAGATTCAATGGTAGGGTTGTTGATGTATCAACACGAAGGAAGGTGCCTAAGAAGAATAAGGAGAAGAAGCGCTCTCGAGATATTGGGCATCAGTCAGAGGCAAATTTAGGGGAGGATGAGTTAGAGGCTCCTACTGTAGTAGCTCGTTCGGCATCACGGGCGTCTGGTTCCCATGGGAGGAATCAGGGTGCTGCATCGAGAGTGGTCTCGGCTTAGTTTGATGAGGACGATAATGATGAGGATATCGAGGTCCCTCCACCTACACGTGGACATGGACGAGTGCCTTCTTGTACGGCAACATCACGTCCTGCTATGTATAAGGACCGAGCTGGGCGATTCATACCACCTGCTCGTGAGGAGACAGAGAGCTCGGGGACTGGACGAAGTAGGGGAGGACGTTCGAGTGGTCCTCCACCGTGGGAGCTTGTTGGTGAGTGTCCTGGTGGACCTACGGATCCTACCCTCATTAGGAGCTTTCGTGGCCACGCTGTCTATGGCTTTGGATGGGGGTTGGAGATCGAGGGGTCACAGGTGCTACAGCCGTACATCGGCGGTTGATTATCTGGGTAGCTACGTGTTTAGTCATGTTGAGGCGGGGGATCTGGTTCAGCAGTTAGGTCTCCAGCACCTGATCTACTCTATGTTCCGCAAGATAGCGATTGACGAGGCTTTGATCTCAGCTTTTGTGGAGAGGTGGCAGCCAGACACGAACACCTTCCACTTGCCTTTTGGAGAGATGACGATCCTCCTCCACGATGTTCAGTACTTACTGCAGATTCCTGTTGAGGGACGACTGATGAGTAGGAGTTCTGCGCAGCTTGACCATCCGGAGGTGGGTTTGTGTGCGCTTCTTGGGATGAACTCGGAGCAGTTGAGTGGTCGTTCCGAGGCCCCTGGATATGGTAATAGGGGTAAGTGGTACGAGAAGGGTGGTTTTCTTGCAGAGATGGCATGTTTGACTACTTATGTATGTTTGGATCGGATGTTTATGTTTAGATCGGATGTTTGACTACTTATGTATGTTTGGATCGGATGTTTATGTTTAGACTGCATGTTTATGTTTAGATCGGATGTTTGACTACTTATGTTTGGATCGGATGTTTGCACACTCATGATTAAAACATCGAGGGTAGATAATGCAATCCATAATGAAATTCATAAATTCATAATGACACTAGGGCCATTTAAAATACAACTAGAAAAACAACAACATATAAATAGAGCATTGCAACACTATGCATTACTCCTACCCCTAGCTCTTCGGGAGTCTCTCTGCCTGGCTCGCTGCCAACCACCAAGGCTCGCAAACAAATTTTGTCCAACCTCGAGAATAGCTCCCCACTCCGCCACATTAGGATTTGCTAGCCCATGCCAAATTGGATGCAGAAGAGGTATGGAAACTGATCCTGGTTGAAGTACAATCGAATGTAGTGGTTGTTCACATAGTGCAGTGATAAGAACATGGTTGGTGGCAAAGTACCTAGTTCCTCATCAATAGGCAATATAGTATATGCATCATCGTAGCGGTTGGGTAGTGGACGGTTTACATTATTGACATCATACACCTGGTATGAGAAGACCATGACTGCGATGTTGTAGATGGTGGCAAACACGAACAAGTCCTCAGAATCCATCCATCGCCCCGGTGGTGCGGAACCCCCCTCTAGCCAATTGATGCGGTCAATGTGAGCTAGTGGACCACCATTATACAAGTTCTCGTACTTCCAGAAATGTTGTTGGATTTCTTGGACAATCGTCGATCTCATGAGCAGATAGTGATTATCATCCCCATAAATACAATGAGAAAGTGCCCTAAAACCACAATGGTTGTCTGGACTAGGGTTGAAATCGCCTACCAGCAAAGGTCGAACAAACTATGGAAAAAGCTCATCGATGTAAGGGTAAGAATATTGCCCTGGGGGGCTCTGGGATGAGTAATCTACAAAAATATACCAAACGGTCAAAATTACTTGGACAAAATTTACAAACATAAACCAATTACTACTAGATGGACTATAATATTAAACCAATTACTCACCTATATCATGCTCGTCAGATTCACCTCCACTCGATCGGATCTGCCTCCACTCGATCGGGATCTGCCTCCACTCGATCACCCCCTACCTCCACTCGAACCAGGCCTAGTACTCCTCGAACGAGACCGCTCATAATATGAATGAATGCGACTAGTGCTTGTTCGAGGCCGTCCTCTCGGATTCTCATTCACTTCCGGCTCCCTCACATTGTCCTCTGCTGGGTGAAGCCCATAGAATAGGGCATCTCTTGCTTGTCTCACTGCTTCAGGACCTCTTTCTTCCACCTCAATAGTAAGACACCTAAAGTGTTCTCGTTGAAGCTCAATTTCATCACTGACTTGTTGTTGACGTGGGGGGTTTTTATAATCCAAAGTCCTCCAAAATACATGCAACTCTTGAGCATAGAATTGACGTCCTTCTTCCTTATCTTGAACAACCTGGCAAGCACACTTGAGCCCATGTGTCATCTGAAAATGACACGCACAACTGTCCTTCAACTCCGCCGCCCCACCTAACATCAGTTTGATTTCCTCACAACTAACAAACCTCCTCAAAAACGTGCACGGAGGCTCAATTGCCCTACTCAGATTGCGGTTTAGTGACTTATGCAGTTCATTCACCACTTCCAGAAACTGATGTTCCGTGTAATTGTGGTTCTTCGCAAAACAAGTGTCAATCTCTCCTCTACCAGACACAAGGAAAGTCTTGAATGAAGAGTGAGATGACTCAACTCTGTTCGAACTCGTGTTACCAAGATGAAACACATGGTTCGTGTAGCACTTTGCCCAGATTGTCTGATGAGGCAACCACTCACCTCGCATGTAGTCGACCATTTTTATGTTCTTCTCTGTCCAGACCCTCTCAAACTCATTAATCTTTTGAAGAAAACCCTCCTGAGTCCAACTCCATGTAGCTTTGTCGAAATATTTCTTCCATACCGCTTGTGCTACCTCTCTTTTTGAAATTCCACCCAGTAATTGCTCAAACTTTTGCTTCACACAGTTGTTGACGTGCCATAAACATAGTAGGTGGACAGTATGTGGGAGAGGGAAGACCACAGGAAAAGAAGCAAGCAAACCACCTTCTTTGTCTGTCACAATGACATTCGGAACCGTATCACCGAGCAACCCTTTAATACATCGCAGCAGCCACTCATATGTTTCCTTTGTTTCCTGCTTAATAATTGCACATGCAATGTTGAAATTCTTCTTGACTGGAGTAACCCCAATAATCTCAACCCGTGGCCAGCCGTACCTTTTGGTCTTGTAGGTCGAGTCAATGAGGATGACGTACGGCCATGCATGCAACATCTGAATGGACGTCGGGTTCGCAAAAAACAGATTAGTGAGCGCATTATTAGAGTCCTTTTGCAAACAGATATGGTACCCACGTAGTTCAGCTCCGTGAAGCGCAAACTGTATCGCATCCATTTCACCCATCTCATCCAATCTTGTCTTGTAATTTCTGTTGTACATCTATTTGATATCATAATGCACACCCCCTTCAGTATTGAGTGTCGTCTTCTGCTGATTTGGTCTCACCCCCGCCTTCTTCATTAATCTAAACCTCTCTTTTTCAGCCTCACTAAACTGTTTGTTGTGTCGGTGATGTTTTGGATACAACACATTTTCATGGTTGTGAAACCCTCTATTAGCTCCGGTTACACGACTTGTCACTCCCACTATGACCCAAGTGCTTGGACCATTCTCTTGCCATACTTCCTTAATACATATCTTAAACTGGCAACCAGTACCCTTCGAACTAATATTCCCACGCGTCTTCTTCGTAGGGTTTGGTTTATAAGACTTAACGATCCTACTACTTCTGTCGCAATACATACAGAGGGCAGTAACAGGATGTAGTCCAGCAGTATTCGGTTTGCATGCTCCTCTAACAATAAAGAACCCACACTCCTGAGCGATTGCTTTTGCAGCTAACTCAGCTAACTTCACACTTGCATAATGGATCCCATTCTCAAATTCTTGTGTGTAATCATGATCGGCCGGTAACCACTCTGACATTTTTCCTACAATTACAATATAACACATCAATATTCCTGTGAACCTAAACGCTAATTTCAAGTCTTAACCGCTAAATTCAACTCCTAAACTCTAAATTCAATTCTTACACGCTAAATTCAACTCTTAAACGCTAAATTCAACTCCTAAAATCGAATTTTCCGAAAAATTCCAAAAACAAACGGTGGGCCGAAATTTTCCGGCGGCCGGAACCTGGCCGGGCCGAAATTTTCCGGTGGCCGGAGCCAGGCTGAGCCGAAAATATCTTGTGGCTCAGCCTGGCTCCGGCCACCGATTTCTGTCGGCCCAGCCTGGTTCCGGCCGCCGGAATTTTTTCGGCCCGGCCAGGTTTCGGCCGCCGGAAATTTTTGGCCCACCGTCTGTTCGTTTCAAATCATCGGAAAAATTGTTCGAAACTACAAAAAATTGACGCACCTGCTTAGTGATGATTCATGGATGCGTGTACGCAGTATATGTCGAGGATAGGCTTTCCCGATGATTTTCCGGAAACTTTTCCGGCGAGCGTCGAATTTTTCCGATTCAATACGTTCTCTGAAAGTTGGATATGTTGTAGATTGTGAAACTCCTTAACCAAAGATGTACATATATACTTTTTTTTTTTTGGTTGGCGGCAAATAGCAAGCCCCCTAGATAATCGCATTTGAAAGTTGGTTAAGCATAACTACATTTGGGTTGTTACCGTTGGTATATGAATTCAATGGTACGACATAATGTTTTTTATTGAGACGACTCCATAGTAAAACCTTTTTGATGATCTGACGACTCCTTAGTAAAAAGGAAACCCTTTCATGATTATCAAAAGTTGAACTCGAAAAATGGAGTTTTCATGGGACGGACCAGCCCTCCGCCATCCGTGGGCCGGAGAAGGCGCCAGCATCTCACTCGGAGCAGCAGAAGCGGCGGCAACGGCAGATGGGCTCGGAGTTGATTGTCACATTTGTTAGAAATCGAACAAAAAAATTAGGGTTATCGAATCTGGCTGAGTCGCGGACTAGGTCGTTCTCTTTAAGACGTTCGCGGCACTGCTTCATAATTCGCACAGCAGACTATCAGTCGGTCGCCTCCAAGATAAAACAGTCACTCTTATTTATTACCAATCGGTTTTGTGCGAAAACCGGAGCTCTATGAACTCACTCTCTTACTCGTGTTTCTGCTCTCTGAGGTATGTTTAGAGGGTCTGGGGGTCTGCTATTTATAGGAGCATAAAACCCAGAATATTCCCTCTTTCTTTGGGAATAAGTCACATTTTAATTAGGGAGATAATTACTCTCATAATTAAAATATAATTTATTAAGATAATTAATCCTAATTATCTCCATAATATTCCTTTTATTAATTATCCATCTTACTTATGTATTATGTGATAATACTGGATAATTAATTAGGAATTTCATTTATAGCTTTTCAAAGCTATTCACCCCAACAATCCCCCGCTTGAATAGTTTTGAAACTATCTTGAGCATACAAATGTACTTAGTGTGATTGGTTCTGATCTTTGCTTTTCTTTAAGCTCGATTTTGGTGGGGGGTTGAAGCGGGTAGGCCCAGATTTCGATGGATTTCCTGGAGGCGGTTGTGTACTAGCAAGCATGATGGGGGGATGGGGTTTCGACGCTTTGAACATTTTAACCAGGCCCTCTTGGCGAAAATTGGGTGGCTATTTTGAAGGAACCTTATTCCCTCTTGGCCCAGATCTATAAGGGTAAGTACTTCCCGAATGGTACTTTCCTAACTGCTACCGCCAGATCTCGCCCTTCGTGGGGATGGCAAAGTATTCTTCATGGTCGCACCCTGTTGCAAAGAGGTCTCCGGTGGCAGGTTGGGGATGGGGCACTGGTCCCTATCCATCAATCTAGCTAGGTCCCGGCTAGGCACCCTGATCCGCCTCCGTGTAATTCTCATGTCAATTTAGAGGGTAATGAGTCGAAGGTAGCAGAGCTTATCGATCCGGTGAGTGGAGAATGGTGTTGCCAATCCCTTCGACAGGTGTTTCCAGAGGATGTTGTCCGGGACGTGTTGGCAATTCCTTTACCGAGTGGGGGTGGAGGATAGGAGGGTCTGGCATGATACGAGTGATGGTGTGTTTACTGTCAAGTCGGCATATCACCTTGCGGTAATGGTGGATAGGCAGGTTGGGGAGTGGCGCCCTGTGTTTAGTTAGATGGATAGGGCAAGCTGGATGAGGGTGTGGGAGCTCAAGATTCCGCCGAAGCTTAAGCTATTCCTTTGGCAGATCTTCCATCGGATTTTGCCAACGACGGAGGCGTTAATTGGGAGATGGGTCCAGGTGTTACCTAGGTGTCCTGTGTGCTGGGCGGAGTCTGAAACGATGGAGCACCTTTTTTGGGAGTGTCCAGTCGCTACAGCCCTCTAGACACATGCAGGATTGGAGCATCTGGGCCATGATATGCCTAGACAAACCTTTCCTTTCTTCCTTAAAAAGTGCTTGCTTAGGATGACTCAGCCGGCGCAGATTATGTCTCTAGTTGCTTTGTTATGGCGTATTTGGAAGTCAAGGAATTGGGCTGCCTTTGAGGGGAAGCAGTTCTTACTTCCTCAATTAATGCGGCAATATCATCAGCAGCTACATGAATGGGTGAGCTTACCAGAGGATAGACTGAACCCGCATCGAGTCCCCCAGCAGTTGCCTGTGGAGGACGGAACCTCGCGGAGTGTCGTTTGTATGTGGGATGGTGCGGTAAGTGCTAACTCTCATTCAACGGCGGGCCTTATATTGAAGGATGAGGGAGGGAATGTGCTGTTGGCGAAGGGGGTGTTCTTTCCTAACATTGTGGATCCTCTGGTGGCCGAGACTCTTGGTCTTCGGGAAGGCATTCAATGGTGTCAGGCTCTTGGCATCCATCAAGTGAGGTTTGAGGGTGATGCTAAGGTGCTTATTGAGAAGGTTAATGCAAAGGACGCGCGGGATGGGCGTGTGGGGGCCATCATTTCTGAGATTCTAAGTCTGTTGGAGGTTAATGGTGGTTTCCGGGTTCGGTTCGTAGGTCGAAATAGCAATAGGGTAGCCCATTCGATGGCTAGGAAGGCCCTGTCTTTGTCTCAGACCTCGTATCGATTGTATGATTTATGTCTCTGGGTTGGGTCCAGGATCTAACTTGTGATCTTTTTCTATGAATTGAATATCTCTTGTAAAAAAAAACTATCTTGAGCATCAACAATTCCATAAGATCGGACATAAGCTAAGGTATCGCAAAGATTTGAACCTTAGCGTAGTGGTTACACTTCCGATTTCATAAGGGTTACTCGTAGTCTTGAACCCTATCTCACACAATGTAGCACACCGAATCTTTTCATTGAGTGATATTCTCTCATAGGCCGTGCGTTTATGGCCATGCACGTTATCCCGGTTTAGTGAACGATCTAGCAAATTTGTGCCTCCAAAGTTCCATAGGGAGCGGCCCCACTCCCACATTCACATAAGTGAGTTTATCAGGAGTACCCCCAAAGTAAAGTACTCCACCCCACATAGGGTATAGATCTCATTAAGAGTTGTTAACTCAACCTCCATTGCTTTGGGATTCATGCTTCACCATGCATGAACTTTTCGCATACTACTCATGACTTGTTATTACCCATTGAACCCATTTCTTGGGATCTCCAGTCTATTGGGTCGGGTTACCATCACTTGTAGTCCGTGATTCGGTAGGCATAAATCCCATACCCTTGGTGGTATTTTGGAATTTCTCTCTAGATAATCCTTTCGTCAAAAGATCAGCTAGATTCTGTTAGGACCTTACTGGATCCACCCTCATCGCTCCTATCGTTAGGAGTTCTCTTACAGTATTGTGCTTATGACGAATTTGTCGTATATTTTTGTTCTAGAACCGGTTCCCTTCTTTAGTAATAGCTATTGTGCTATCAAAAATGAATCAACTACCGGAGGGATCGGTCTTTCCCATAAGGGAATCTCTAGTAATGACCCTCTCAATCAACTTTTCTCTTTACTAGCCGTTGCTAGCTCTATCATTTCTGATTTATTAGTTGATTGAGCCAGAATCGTTTACTTCTTAGAATTCCAAGACACAACTCTTCCAGTGATGTTTGAAACATGTCCAATGGATGCCTTGGAGTCTTTTATAGACACCCTACCAATACAGCAAGAAACCATTATAACATATATCAAGGTCTACTATTCTCTTAAGGTGTCTCATGACCCCTTTCAATAGCATTTCAATGCTTCATACTAGGACAATCGGTAAGCATGTCAAGTACCCCCCACTAAATCGGGTCTCATGTTTATCAGCTGCCTCTCGCATACTGTAAATACTAGTATATTCTAACTTTCTTACACCGTCTTAGGTGTTCTTTAAATATTTATACTAGCATCATCAAACATGTATGTAGGTGTACATCTTGTATTTTCCTAGTTATTAGGATCTCTAAGCATAACATTTGTTTCATTTAGATCCTTCACATTCAAAATTCTCAACCATCATGGTTTTTCAATATTGACATCACAAGTCTTTGTACCAAAGATCGACGTGTCATTCATAATGCAAGTGTCATTGTCAAATTTGTACTAAATGCACTTGTCATTTTCAATTTTAAAACCATGAGAGAGAATATGATTTTTCACGCCATTGTTTTAGAGTCATTTTCAAATCTTACCATGATTTGTCTAACCATAGACTCCAAAAGTATGTTCAAGAATAACAATCCTTTAGGTTGTCCCATGTAGATTTATTTATCTAAACCACCATTCACAGAAACTTTAATAATCCATCGGACGCACAACACTAGCAATCAAAACATACATGGATGTTATTCTAGATGTGGTGAATAAAGAAATCTATAATTTTTTCCTTCTTCGCCCAATGTTTTAGCTAGTAGGCAATTCTTATACTCATAAACTAAAGTTACTAAACCATCAGGTTTCTGTTTTTCTTTTAGGAATCCATCTATTACCTAAATCATTGCCATGAGGTAATTCTCAAAGATGCCAAATCTTGTTCGCTTCCACCAATATATTACCCAAGGCTTTACAACCAAGAGGTAAAATTACAAGATTGTAAGTCTTACTAGACTCCACATATTCCATTTCGTTAATTATGGATCATCCCACAAATCTGCTTCAAATTTGAACTTCCATAAAGATGCAGATTTGTAGGTTCTTTCGAAGGGTGTAAACAACAAATTCATAACCAAAATATTTTAGTGATTTATGGTTCATTTGTCTCTTCTGAGTTCATACTCAGATTCATCACCCCCACTAGATCCACTATTCTAATAGCGGGCAAGATGTTACCCCCCACTATTTCTTAATTTAAATGGAAGTCTCTTGGCATTAATGGATTCTGTAATACAATGAGTATTTCATTTCATAAGCTAATGTGATATATTATAGCTTATCCAATTAAAACACATTCATATGCTCTACTAGTAATTATATTGCTCTGATTCTTTAATTCTACCATTAGAATTTCAAAAGCATCACATCAATTAAACATACAATTAACTAGGTAAAACATTTATTAACTTCTCATCATGTATACTCATATCAAAACAAATAATATCTAATGTTTTGATTCGTTTATCACATATTTTTGGGTCATTTAACTTTGTTACATAAAACATATATACCACACAAGCATAAGCATATTCCTTCTCTATGGAGCGCGCAAGACATCTTCTAAAATCGTGGTGAGGGCAAATGCCCAACAACACTTTCTTCTTCAATGCGTCTCAATGTATGTTTTGAGCATAACTCTATTATCACACATGCTCTGAGGCATCGGTATCCAGCCACCATTCTTCAGGGTTACTAGTAAGATTAACCTCTGCTCTCATTTTAGTGATCACAACCATCCATCCTCTTCTATTATCAAGCTAACAATGGAACCAATGTTAGACTTGTTCATACACTTTCGCGTCATATGACCTAGTTTCTCACAACTATATTGGAAAAACATAGTGTCATTCTTAGAGGATTGGCTAGTGATCTTTTGGTTACCACGAAGGGTACCATTCTAATTGGTGCGGATCTAGTTCGGCTTGCTACTCTCATTCTTAAAACTTTTAATGCTTTAGAGTAACATGAGTGATTCACTTAGTACTAACAACCAGTACTTCTTTTAAAGTCATTTGTGGCATACATCCCATTTTATTCTCATATATATACTTCATATGCACGCATCCTAACAAAATCGTTCTATTTCACAACATGTATCCAAATTTCATACTCGATGTAACACATCTCAATTCGACATATACATGCATCAATTCTAGTTTTACTTTCTCTCATTCATATGAGTTTCTCAATACCATGCATAGAACTCAATTGAAATAGATTCTAGCTTATCATTCATCAGAGTGATTCATAAAGAAGGTTTTGACTCTTACCTCTTTCCGATGAGTCGATGCATTCTCAATTTGCATGAATAGCTAGTACCATATACATAGCCTCCTCATTTCCTTTCTTTTGTTGCAAAATGCTAGCATACATTTGATCAATAGGCCATGACATACAAATTGGGCCTTGATTGGTCGCAATAGCCCAAAGTCGTTCACAAACAACCCCAAGCTAGGACATCTTTAAATTGTGGATTGCTCTGTTCCACTTCCAATTATTCCACCGGCAGTAGTAACAACATCCTTAGCCTCCCAGCCCATAGCATTAAGTGGACCAAAGATGATATAATCAACAAGGCCATCGATAGAATAATGGCCTGTTAGGAAGGTCTGAATTGTGCCTCTCGGTGGATATGTAAATGTAATCACCCGGGGGATGAGATTCAACCCTTTTCCTGTTCGAGAACAAAAACATAGTGAAATAGGCTTAGGGATTGAGAACAGAAGTTGTTAGCTTCTTCACAGGGGCATAAACCCGGAGTAGCAGAAACTTTCCCCGAGCCTTATTCCTTTCTGTTTGGTCTCACACAGGTCTGTCCGAGGGAAAGTAATTCTAAGGTAGGCAGACGCTAGACTAAAGCCCCAGTATAACCTGTGACATGTGACTATTACTGTCTTCTTCTTATCGCAAACACCAGCATCAGGATAAGTATTCAAATAACAGAAGAATAAAATTGAATAATAAAATGAGAGAAGTCCTCAATCTCGCCGCAATGGCATTTTAGTATTGGTGGTAGCTGAGGCTTGCGAGATGGGTTTGGGGCAGCGACTGTTTCTTACGGCCTGAATTATTCCCTCCGGAGATAATTAATTGGCGTCGAGAGAAGTGAAACCAATCGAATGAGCCATCCGAGAAAGCGATCCAAAGGGCATCGAATCGTGAGGCAAACTGATCCACAGTAATTGACAACGATTGGGTTCAGATGCAGTAATCAATCTGTTCGGTACATATGACAGCAGCACAACGTCTTAAAATTGTTAGAAATCGAACAGAAAAATTAGGGTTACCAAATCTGGCTGAGTCACGGACTAGGTCGCTCTCTGTAAGACGTTCGCGGCACTGCCTCATAATTCGCACAGCAGACTATCAGCCAGTCGCCTCCAGGATAAAACAGCCACTCTTATTTATTGCTCATCGGTTTTGTGCGAAAACCGGAGCTCTATGAACTCACTCTCTTCTCGTGTTTGTGCTCTCTTAGGTATGTTTAGAGGGTCTGGGGGGGTCTGCTATTTATAGGATCATAAAACCCAGAACATTCCCTCTTTCTTTGGGAATAAGTCGCATTTTAATTAGGGAGATAATAACTCCCATAATTAAAATATAATTTATTAAGATAATTAATCCTAATTATCTCCATAATATTCCTTTTATTAATTATCCATCTTACTTATGTATTATAGGATAATACTGGATAATTAATTAGTAATTTCATTTATAACTTTTCAAAACTATTCATCCCAACAACATTGGTCGGCTGCACTTGGATCAGGAGCTTCTGGTTTTGCTGCTCGCAGTGCTTGGCCACGCCGCAGATGTACCATTTTCTCCCTGGGTAACGACGTCGTTTCCAGAATCCAGCTAAAGGCTACTGTTGGACGGGACAATCCAGTTCTAGAACTCGGTTCTGTTCACCTTGAAAACGTTGTGGAAGCCTTTGGGTACCTGAAAACTGTAATTATTACATGTAAAAACCGATTAAATTATAGCTAAGTATCATACATGGATCTCTCAACAGATGAAATTATGAGACGCGCAACCAGCTACTTCAAGACAATCCTAGCTAGCTAATTAAATGTCGAAAGAATTCAATGCTGCAGCTAGCTAGGTATCTGGCATGCACATTTTAGCTAGGTTGTACTCACCAAGCCTGTCCCCAACGTGGAAGTCCTTGCCGACGGCCCAGGATTTTTTGGTAATCGAAGGCGGTGGTCCACCCAGCCTCGTCACCAACCACGAAATCTTTGGCAAAACCGGCAACCCGGAAAGCGAACACGATGGTCAGGAACAGGAAGGAATCGGAAATCCATTTTGCCGATGTAGCTAAGTTTTTGTTATATATGGATTTATACAGCTAGCGAGCTGCTGATTATGAAGTTTGAAACTACTGGAAATGTAT